TATATATATATATATATATATATATATATATATATATATAATAGATTGAAGAATATAAAAATTAAATTGGAAAATCTGAAAGAAAGAATATATAAACTAGAAAATTAAAAATAAAATTATAACTAAAATTTTTAATAATAATATGAAAATGAATATGAATATGAATATGAAAATAGATATTAAAAAATAAATGAAGAGTAATTTATTTTTTTATAATAAAACAAAAATTAATTTATTATTTATTAATAAATCAAAAAATAAGTTAATAAAAAGAAATTTAGTTAATCCAATATGAAAATAATTAAAAATTAATTTAATAAGATAAGAAAATTTAATAAATATAGGAAAAATATGTTATAGATGTATAAAATCTATAAAATGTAAATATACATATAAATATATTAATTACTATGATATTTGTTTTTTATATGTAGAAAAAATACTAAAATAAAAATAAAAATAAATATTAAAAAGCCAACATATATATATATATATATATATATATATATATATTATTATAAGACTAATCTAGAAAATTTGAAAATTTATAGATAAGAAATTGAAAAGTTAAACCGTATAATATAAAATTTATCCTCAAATTAAAAAAGCGTAATATCTATAAATTAAAAATATTTTTTTTGGCTAAATAAAGATATACATATATATGTATAAAAAAATAGAATGTATAAAATAACAATAATGATTATTAAATTCAATTTTTAAACGAAAAAATATAATTTCTAGAAAAATAAAATTAAAATCATCTTTAAAAACTTTAAAATTTAGAGATATAAAGCTAATAATAAATAATATAATCAGTTCCACTTACATATTAAGATGTAAATAAAAAAATTAAAAAAATTAATAAAAAAAATAGTTAAATGATTTAGATTATTAAAGTTGTTAATAAATAAATGAAATAACTCCAAATTATAAACAAAAAATGATAACATCATAATATTTAAGTAATAATAATTTAAATACTTTTAATAATTAAACAAATACATGGCATGAAAATCCTTAAAATTACATATAATAAGCAAGCCAAAATACTAGTATTTATTAATCACAAATAAATTATAAAACTAACTATGAGTAAAAAAAAAATACTAATAATGAAGAAATAGCTGGATAAATAATTTAAAATAAAAGAAAAAAAACAATAATTGATAATGATAAAGAAAGGTAGTAATAGATAAATAATTAAATTTTTGTTTAAAAAATAAAAAACAAGTAATTAAATAATGATGAAAAAAATAATAATTATGTTAATATTAATAGTGAATAATTAAATTCTAATGTTTCATTTTAATAAAGAAATAATAGAATAAATTCTGATATTAATGATTTTGATAAATTATTAAGGGTAAAGGAAAATTTTTAGGAAAAAAGTAGAAATTATTTAAAAGAAGAAATAGAAAATTATATAAATATAAATCATAAAAAAAATAATAAAACACCAATATAAATTATAATAAAAAAAGTATAATAAGAATTAGAAAATAAAAAAATAAATGAAAATAATGAAAATGAAAAATATCTGAAATTAGAAATAAGAAAAATAGTTGATAAAATTATTTAATAAAATAATTATAATAGATAATTTTCGTAAGATAATATTTATAAAGATATGAAAAATTCAAATATAAATGAAGGTATAAATAAATATATAAAAATATAAATGTAAATTTGAATATAATATATATATATATATATATTATATATATATATATATATACATATATATATTATATATAATTACTATTAATTATATATAATATATTAAATATAAGGTATATTAATAATAACAAATCTATTAAT